GCCTCATATGCATGTAAAAATTGGATGGTGAATAAGGAAGATGGTATAATAATCAATGCATTTGAATTATGGTGTTGGCAAAGAATCTTGAAAGGACTATATGTCTTGGAAGACGTACAGTCAGAATGATTCTTATAAGCCAGGATCATGAGACTTTGTCTCTTGTACTTTGGACATGTTGTCAGAAGGATTAGTATCTGGAGTAAGACCATGCTAGGTAAAGTGAGGGTCATAGAAAAAGAAGAAGACCCCTAATGAGATGGATTGACTCAATGGCAGCAATAATGAGCTCAAACGTAGCTTCAGTTGTGATGATGGCACAAAACTGAGCATTGTTTTCGTCTGTTGTGTATAGTTTTGCCATGAGTCAGAACTGATGAGATGGTACATAACAACAGCAATACTCTTGCTGGAGACCAAGATAGTAGTATTTTAAATGAAATGAATATGAGAGCTATCTACTCTTAAGTATATTCAGCCTAGAGTAACTTTTACCTAGCACACAAAAAGGCTTTTTAGTGGTAGTAAAGATTTGGAAGTAACTTAAGTGCCTATAACTAAGAGAGTTGTTATTACGTGCTATTGAGTTGGTTCTGACTCATAGTGACCCTGTAGAGGGTTTCCCAGGATCAGCTGGTGGGTTTGAACCTCCAACCTTGTGGTTCGAAGTCCAGTGCTTATACCATAGTGCCACACCAGGAGTCCACTAGGAGAATAGCACTCTCTCTCTCTCTCTCTCACTATACATACATACATATATATATATATACATATCTTTGATGTATGGAGATATGATGTAACAATCAGAAACAATAAACTGCGTATTTTTGTGTTTATGTGTGTGTAGGTACTGTAACAGTTTGAATTTCCTGGGAAACAGACTCTGAGACAGGCAGGATATTTATTAAGAAACGAGCTTATAATCTGGAAAAAGAACAGGAGTGGGTAGATAGGAAAGCTGAACTGTGATTCAGCCCAAATAGCCTTAGAGAACCCTATGAAAGCTCTGGAACAGGAGTGTCCCTTTAAATTGTCCCAAGTTGGGCTGAGATTAAAGCCTTTGTATACTTGCAATAATCATTCATTGCAATGTGGACCTCCCAAGAAAGGGGCATGGCATTAGACAAGGTGAAATCTGAAGCTGAGGCAACCACAGAAGGAGTTGACAGCTAGTGGGGGAATTTGGGTAGTACATCACTATGAGATATAGGTCTATATCTATCTCTATATAAGAACTTAGCAACATGTTGAGGGAAATCACTTTTAATTAAAAAAATTTTAACACATATATACCAACAAGTAATAATATATATTTTAA